TTTACTCTGCCAGAACGATGGAAAAAGGTCATCGACAAGAACGGCCAATATCTAATTGAATAAAGTTATATTTTTAAACAAAAATTCCGAATTTGCCTTCTTATTTGAAATCGGCAATGACTTAGTTGCCAACCTAATAGAAACACGAACTGACACGATCGTGCTTTGCCGAATCTTACATTACCCTCTCATCTCCACATTATTCTCTCCAATCTTCACCATGCTTTATTCAATCAAAGTCGGGAGGCACAACTCTTGTGTTCCACTTTTGCAACTGCCGTTTGTCGTTGTTGACTCCAACTATTAATTGTTATTCCTCCGCACCCAATTCAACAACAAGGCACTAATAACTGAGTAATTTATCATTCTAGAAATATTTAGCTTAAATGTGACAAGACACATTAGTGTCTGCGCGTGGGTGTAAACTGAATTCAAAGCAGTTGAAACGTTCGGAGGATATTTTGACCGAGATCAGAAATTAACCAAGCCCCTGGGGAGAGAGGGCGTGTTAACTAACTAGTCTGCTATCACTGCATGCAAAATACGAACCAGAAACCGCAAAATAAACTGAAATTCCGTAAAACTTTGCCTGCCTCTATGGGACAAAACGGACGATTCACTTCAAATATTGCCTAAAAACGGTCTGCATATTCAACTGTTCATGATGAAACACTGAAGATAATTCCACTCGGAAATGACAAAATATTTCGCACACCGATCACTATCTCTTTATGAAAAAAAGCCCCAAAACTCTCATTTTTGTGCTTTCATCAAAACACTAAAGATGCACAAAATCAGACACCAATAAAAAGGTAAAGTGGGGTACTAAGACCGCGTATAGTGTAGAGGCGGATTATCGACAATCAAAATTAAAAGTACACGGACTCTGAAAGAAGCAGGAGAGGCAGAAGATAGAGATTACTTTCCTACAAAATTAAATATGATAAAGGGAATAGTGCTTCAAAGAAATCCACTCCATTTATCATCAAATATCAGCTATAAATGAAAAAAAAATATGCTCGAAAAAAACTAAATTGCAGTCGATTCTTCACAAACAAAGGAGGAAATAAAACGGGAAGACCACCGCAAACCAATTGAATAAATAGCTTTGGAAATTGTCCAAAAAAAGGACAATCGCTAGCGTATACGAAAGCAAGCGAACCGGATTTTCAAAAAAAAAAACGGAAAGACATTTGTGAATAAAAATAAATGATGGTACGACTTCTATTTCTATGGCGCACTAGCCCAGGCATTTTTTACATATGAACAAACATTATGTTCCAACGTTTGAAACGTTTGTTTTAGCAAAAACAACAAGCTAGTTTGTTTTTTTTTAATCACTGGGGCATTGGATTAAAGTGAGGTCATAATCACACGATAGTAAGGCCTAACTTAATTGCATAATTATCTGTTTCGGGTTGCTTACCTTAATCTTGAGTATATAATGGGTTAGAAAGTGGTGAAATAGTTCACACAAATTATTGATTCACGAGTGTAGAAATTACGCAAAGAAAAGGTAGAAGCAACAGATGTGGTTAAATTTAAATAGTGAACGATGAGCATTTCATTAGTTTACGCAGATTTGACAAACTCGACTCCTCTGTTCTACCAGTGTCCCATGCTTAAAAGGCGCCGAGGTTTTCTGCTTATCCCTTCCCACGTTAGTTCCCTCTAACTTACGGTAAAAAGCTATAGAGCAAGAAAATGTAATAGCTATTACCTTCTTATAGTAGGCATCATAGGCGCACATCGACCAATATCAATTGCTAAAAGTAGCCCACAGAGCAGACCAAAAAAGAGTAGAAAATTACTAAAGTGCAACGTTACACAACCAATGAAAGCTTAGATTTGCTTACCAGAGGCTTATGTGAAAAATTAGCATTTTTAATTTCTTCAAAAGGATGGTAACATGGAGGAAAACGAATCATAAACACGAAAAGTGAATTTTCTAAAAAAATGCAACTATGATCAAACCCCATGTACGCATTCTTCATTATGGAAATATAAACAACGGAAAAAAAGAAAATGTGAACAGCTCAAACGAAAATGAAATCTTACCACCACACGATAAGAAGCAACTAACAGACTACTACTTCTCAAGATACTGAACTCGGCTTATGACGAATAGAACTGCAAGGAAGAAACGTTTAATATATCAACTCCCGTGCCCACCAAGAGAACAGGCTTAGTATTCCATATAGTATTCCAAAAATAACCGAATTCCCAAACCAATGTTGGTCTTTTGGAAAAGCTATTGTATACTTGACTTAAATAAAAAGAAGCCCACCTGATTTGTTGAATTTGTATCAAATTACTACGACCCGAGGTTTAGAATTTGGGTCACGCCGAGGTCGAGTTAGGACACGTGGTAGAGCTTTCCAAATAAACGATTCAAGCATAATGTCTTGTCTTCTTATAACCCTAAATTCGCTCCTAAGTTAGACTTTTAAACAGCAAAGACCATAAATATTATTATTCGAATAACGCAAACTTATAGGAGAAGCCGAAACAATATAATTTTATAAATTATTGAATTACCTAAGACTAAATGGAATAATGAAAAGGCAGATTTTTTCCTAGTCAATCCAAGACTGGAGAAAATTCATTCGAACGTGTATTTACGGTAATTTAATCCAAAAAGAAAAATTGAAAAAAATTAAAAAAACTAAAAGAATATACTTCTATAATGTCATTCACGAGGAACGCTCTATTATGAAAATTTCCTACGGCCTTTCCAAATGTGGAAAAAACCACATGATTATTCCAAAACACCTCATAATTTTTTTCAATTAGAATCCGAGCAGATAGATTAAGGATGCTCAATTTCAATTTCGCTTCATTAAAGGAGAATTTCAAAACTGCCCATAGTTAAGCAATCTTAGGAAGAGCCTTGGTCATTCCAGACTTTTAATTAGAAGCAGAAAGGTGTAGATGACAAACTAAATAGTCAGTAGAGTTAACTGTATGCTGCAGTACTTCTAACTGAACAGACAAGCACTAGTAGAAATATAAACATTTAAAAAATGTGACCAATGAAAATTTTTCACTAAGTTACCGAAGCTCTTAAGAGGATGAACTTCGAAACACACCAGGAAGAGAGATGAATCAACAGTCACGATTGAAGTTGTTCCATTTAAAAGCACTATGCCCAATAAACCAAGTATGACACCACGAAAACAGCCACGGTTAAGTAATAATTTGAGTAGTAACAATATGCACTAACCGACTGCCACAACAACAACAGCAAGCAGTAGTTTCGGGGCACTGAAGGTATTTACAGAGATTTGAGATGGCTGTGGGAGAGAGGCGTTTGGAGATGAGGTAGAGGAGGCTTCCGTATACGGCGGTGACATGCTTCGAATAAATCCAAAGTCGACGAATACTTAACCAGTCATAGGCTAGACGATCAAAAGGACTCTCCAATTCTTGTTGAATTATGGGCCTCATATGATTGGCGTAAGGAGGATCAGTTACCTACAAGGAATACAAACAACGATTGGTTCCCAAGGGAATGCGAAAAGAAAGCAAGGCAAATTGAAGGCTAGCTAAAATGTAATAAGAGGCCAAGAAAGTCTAATTTAAGTGAATCAATTAGGCTAAAATAGTCAACGGTGTGGATTTCGGTTTCGAAATGAGTAAGTCACCAGCAAATGTATTTTGCGATAAAAATGGGAAGTATGCACCTAATAAATGCATGAGGAAGCTCAACGGTCAACTAGGACTTATAGAGCTCAATGAAAGACAATGGTTACTAAAATGCCAACTAAAATTTGTTTAAAGGACCTTTTCAAATGCTGCAATAGTAATAGCCTAGCCGTTTCACGGCAATACTAATAATTGGAAATCTGCCTGCTTGCATTAGTAACATGATGTTTATCAATATTACATTATTCCATCATAGGTGGTAAAGTAGATTGAGACTGCAGATCAAAGCCTGAAGTAATTTACTATCGACTGTTGTTTCGGAATTAGATGAGCGAAGATTGAGAAGAAAGTGAAGTTTGCTTGATCGGGTAACCTCAATGCAGCCTAAGAACAGATATCAATCGATTTAAGAGACGAAAATCAGGAGTAGTACAAACTCAGGCAAATTGCCTGCTGATTTGAATAAATAACACCAACATTAAAACGCACATGTGGAACAGGTACATCAAGCGACCTACATGTACATTTACCATGCATTGAAAAAAATGCATGAATAGTTATTTATAAATATGGCAATCAAGTAACAATAAATTGCATTAATTTTGATAATACAATAGAATTAGATTGAGTTCTAATTGAAATCAGGGTAATCAAAAATTGATTGAAAAAAGCACCATTTATCAAAAAGAGTAGAAATGGCGTATCGGATACTAAAAATAAGTACCAGTCTTTAAATCAGTTGAAAACAAAAATTTGGAAAGACTCGTAGTCAACATTATTATCAGTTTTTTAAAAAAATATCCAACTGAAAAATGACAAATTTCAGACGTCTTTAATATTAATGTCATTTATAATCTATTCAATTTCAGTAAACTAAGGCCTTATGACAAAATATTTTCCATAAAATAAAACGACTGAATCTTAAGACAACTATAAATAAAAACACAGATAAGTTCACTAGGAAAATTGCACAGGATAATAAATACTAAGGAATTAGCAGAATTTGCACCAGTAGACAAAGCTATTGACCAATAAGACTGCTCCGAGCCATAAAACAATCGGCAAACAATTGAGGTTAATCTGGCTCAGAAATGGACCAAATTGGAAGCGCAAAGGGAAAAATTCTTTTCTAATCTTGAATAGAAAATTTCATTGATATCTGGTTACTGTTCAGACACTTCGAACTGTCTGTTAAAAGTGTGGTAAAACACATGTCAAAAATAGACGTGTTCTCTCACGTAGGTGTAATGAAATCATAACAAATGACAGGCGTTTTGATAGTTATCATTAGCCCTTTAGTTGACTTCGGGCTTCACAGAGGGGAGGAGGAACATCAAAGTGAGAAGAATTCGGGAGGGGGAACAGAAGAGTGATTCACAGATATAAAAGAAACAGACCGACGCAGAAAGGGTAAGATGAGTACTGTGTATGGATCGAATATGATATACAGTGGAATGATGGTAGTTTGAAGTAAGAAGTCAACTGCCGGTTAATAGACTGGTAGTTTGAAGTAAGAAGTCAACTGCCGGTTAATAGACCTTTTTGCCGTATGGGTATACATTGCCCAGGGTGCACCACGAGGAGGTAAGTCTATTCCACACCCCGGTGTAATGAAATAGTTGTAGCTTATTCATAAAACAGCTGTTAATTATTACGTGGATATTGTCGCTTAATGAAATATTAATCACTTCAGACCAATGAGCCCTCCAGATGTGTTCATGCAAAGCCACACTTAAACATTCAAGGACAGCGTTATCCGATAGACAACGATACTTATTTCATAATTTAAATAAGACTAGGTACAGTAAAGCCATCTTCCCAATCAACAACCACAGCGATGGGCTATACCACTGATCTACATGATATGACTACTTAATCTGAGATTTTATAATATCTGACTCCACATAAGCTTTGGCAAATTATTTAATTTATAGCCATTGTGTGGATGAACACTAGCGACGAAGAATAAAAAGGAGCGCAATCATAATTGGCCTTGATGTGATGCAAGTTGTGACATTTAATAAAAATAAAACATAGGGTTGCTCCTATCGAATACGTTGGGATATTAGTGAATGAAATAGAAGCAATGCAAGCGTGTTTATCTACGAAGTCAAAGATCAAATAGTAGGATGTTGGGATGGAGAACGGCGCTGGTAAAAGAAAATTGAAAAAATCAGTGACTTTCACGAGAGGTTCCATGATATTAGGAAACACATACCATAACGGGACTGGGAACCACTAAATACCAGAATAGAATCTGTCCAACGATTCAACTAAACAGTTAAAATTTTTTCCCAATTTACCGATATAATAAGTTTTAAGAAGTTCTTTAAAATGTGGATACACCTATGGATGCTTAAATGTGCTCACGAATATTTTTATTATTATTTCAAATGTCAGGCTTTATGATATTTATCATTAGCCCCTCAGTGGACATCGATTTTCACATGGGGGGAGAAACATATATTTAGGATTTAGGACAGTTAATAGTAGTTCATTAGTTGTCTTCGGGCTTCCCAGTATCTCTGGCTATCCGTCGTTGTCTTTAGGGCTGGATACTGAATCAGGTGGGTCTTTTCCATTTCATTCTGTAGGTCACATAGGGGGCATGTTGGCTGAGCATATACTACTATTCTGTAAAGGTGCTTCGTCAGGCAATCGTGTCCGGTAAGTAGTCTAAACTCAGCAACGGCTTCGATTCTTGGCCAATCGGCTATGTCGGAGAGTGCTACCGCCCACTGTTTCCCCTTTGTTCGAGCTTTAAGTTCGTTGCACCTCGAAGTCTTGAATTCTCTACTGTTTAAGGTCTGCATTATATGGAAAGACATCGGACGGCCTTTGTTTTGCAAAATCGCAGTCCTATTCTTAGTAAGTGCGTCAGCACTCTCATTGCCTATAATGCCAAGATGTCCAGTGATCAATTGAAGAACTACTCTTTTATTCTTTCTCTCAGTAACTGATACAGTTTTTAACATTCGTATATCTCGGCTGTTTTGAGTGGCTCCCTGTTTCCAATACAGGATCAAGGCCTTTTCTTTGATAATGGAACATATCGTGGTGCTTCCTGTAACCAGGAGCATAGCATCAATTGGTGTTGATTATATCCCTCCAGTAATTAGTCGTAATTAATGGTTATGCGTCTTCTCGAGTGGTTTGAGAATCACCTCAGAGGCTTTAATGAGTGGCTCACAGCAATACAGCTTTATTGGTTGAACAAACATCTTGTAAGTGGTGTTTAAGTTTGATCTTGTACTGCTCCATATGCTACCAGAGTGGCGCTTCAGTACGTTCCGTCTAGAGGAGATTCGTTCCCCTACTTTAGCAGTGTGGCTTTCAAATATTAGCTTTGCGTCGAACGTCACTTCGTGATAAGTGAACTCGTTGATTTTTCCAGAGAAGCATCCTTGTACCTTAAGTGCGGATTCATGTTGAGGTGGGCCAATGAAAGTGTTTGTAATGCGGTTTCCAAGGTGTTGATAACCATTCCGTTGTTGTCGCACCAGATTGCTAATAGTTTAAGTGCATAATTTAGGGCACTTTCGTCCTATCCTAAGCGTTTTTCTTAGGAGTGGAATACCATAGAAAAAGATCATCTGAATATATAATAAGCACTTGATGCCCGTGACAGTCTGTACAAGTGATCGATGAAGACATTGAAAAGAGTGCAGCTTGTGACAGCTCCCTGTCAACATTGAAAAGAGTGCAGGTTGTGACAGCTCCCTGTGGAAAAAAGAGTGCAGCTTGTGACAGCTCCCTGTGGAAGGCCTGTATGCAGCTTGTGACAGCTCCCTGTGGAAGGCCTGTTTGTAAGGTTGTGACAGCTCCCTGTGGAAGGCCTGTTTGTAAATGATTAGATTTGGACAGATCATTTCCATATCTGACTTTACTCGATCTCTGTCCAGTGAATGCTTTTATCCAGTTAAGCATGTTATGCTTTATAATCCAATCTTCGCCAATTTTAGAAATAGATTCACTTTCCATTCTAAGTTATATGCTGACTTGAAATCGGTGAATACAGCTGTAAGAGTATTTCATGTATCAAGGGCATCTATGAAATGTTGGGAGAGAGCGACAACTTGTTGGTTTGTTGATCTTTGTTGCCTAAAGCCTGCTTGTTCGCTTCTAAGAATGTTGTTGGTTTCAAGGAACCGGGACAGACTCGTATTAATAATTCTTTCCATAAGTTTAGCCAGCATGTTTGAGAGGGAGATAGGCCTACAGTTGTCAAAGTTGCAGAGGGACTTTGCCCTTTTTTAGTATTAGAATTGCAATGGCAACATTCCATTCCGTAGGTTCGAGACCGGTCTCCCAAATATTCTTGAATAGTGTTAGATTGATTTCCTTGGCTTTTGACCCCATTCAAATTAGAAACTCCAGTTGGATATCATCTTCGAAAGGAGACATTTTGCACTTAAGCTGTTTTATCGCAGCATTAAGTTCGCGAGTGCTGAATGGATCATTAAGTACAGTGTGTGGTATTGTTGTTTCTTCCTTGGTTAAGCCACACATTTTAACTTGTTTCTTTAAATCTCTTGAAGAGTTCCCGACAAAAAGGCTTTTCTTTTGCTGTTTTGGAGGTTACCCAGGAAGTTGAATGCGCGTTGACTTTCATTTTTTAATAGTTGATATTTGAGATGCAGATTTCGAAGGTAGTCCGTCTGGCTTGTAAGACGGCTTGTCTTAGGACAGCTGACTGTCGTCTCCAGGCTTGTACGTCTTCCGTTCTTCCAGTCTGTTCAGCAGTGTTGCAAAGGGCGTCCCGCTATCTTATCAGTTCCTCAAGGCGTTTTGACTAAAACACTCTAAGTGTTTTGCCTTGCACCGTGAATAATTTTCTTTGTAAATGTGATTATAATATGTGATAATGTTGCACAGTTTGTCAGGATGGTAGTTGTAGTTGATAGAACTTGCATGAGGTTCGTTTTCCACACAGTTTGGGAATCTAGGCCAGCCGGCCTTCTTGAAGTTCCATGATGACTTGGTTAGCATTTTGGGTGTCACGCATGACAGGTTTGTGACCAGAACCAGGATCGTCAGTTATTTTTCGGTGTGTAAGCTCGACAATGTCGCTTGAAACCAGGAGCAAATCATGGGTTGTAATGATTCCATTGTAGTGCAAATACGTAGCAGGATTCTCATTGCTGTAAATAAGTTCCAGAGGGTTGCTGTTTAGCATGTCTTCGATTTCCTTTCCAGCTGTGTTTATGTTCTTATATCTCCATCTGGTGGAATGGGCGTTGAAGTCTCCTAATACTACAGTTTTGTGTGAGATGTTCAGAAAGTCAAAGTTGGGGCTATTCTGGGTTGGATTATAGAATGGGTAAATCTTGAAGTGGTTTTGACATTCAGGTGGATTATAGAATGGGTAAATCTTGAAGTGGTTTTGACATTCCAAACATTTAATCTGATTATTTCGCATATGTCTTGCGTCGAGCCCATGCTCTTGATTAGATCGTAATGTGATATGAGGCCTTCTTTTACTCCAATCAAAATTCCACTTACTACTTTCCGGTGTTCAGGTATGAGATATAAGACGTAACCTGAGATTTGGTAGTATTTGAGTTTGTCATCCGTAAGGTTAGCTTCCATGATCGTGGATATGTCTACAACATAGGTATGCAGGATTTCCTGGATTTGGATCCTCTTGTGACATCCCTCTAGCATTCCCCTGAAGGATCTGTGGAAGTTGTGATTTCTCTTATAGTTTCGTTTCAGGCTGATCATAATAATTTGAATTCAACTGCCAAGTTATAGACTTTTTGTCGTATGAGAATACGTTGTCCAGGGTGCACCACGTGGAGGTAAGTCAATCGCACACCCCGTGTTCACAAATATAAAGGTACATTCTTGCATCATGTCAATTGTGGATGGCAATACAATTACTTACATTGAATTACCCAAAAAATAGCTATGCTTATTCATGATTTTTATAGAAATGAGAAAGAAATTACTTTTTACGTTGTGTCTAAAAGCAGAAGGTAATAAATAATATGATGATAATAAGAAATCAAAATCAAATATATTAAAAATAATCTATAAGCAGCTGATACAAACAATTTTGAGTGTTGGAGAAAACACTGAGAAATCTTACGGAAAATAAACTAGTAGATCAATTCCATCGATTAATTAATCGACCTAATTGAGACCTTCAATTATATTTCAAACTTACACTGATCCAAAAAGGCACTATTATTAAAAGCGCGATATTTACAGCGATGACGTGTATTAGTGACTAACTGTGCCAAAATGAGAACTGCATCGATATCATGAACTTGAACGACTTAAATAAAATGAGAGCATCGAAAAGAAAACGTTCTTTCACTGAATTATCTGAGAGAGGTAAATAAGGGAGTTATCATATTAAAATTTGGACTTACTGGGTCATAAGGATACGAGTCTTGCAGGACTCGCTCAAGAGGAACGCTATTTCCACAATCAACCCACTGATGTGTCTGCCATCGTAAAAGCATCAGGCCTGCAAGAAGATCTGTCGCCACCAGATTCGTCTACAGGGCCAATAGAACCATAACCACCGAATTTGATTTGATTGGTTATTTAATTCACTTAAAGTGTTACTTACCATAAAATAATTACCAACCAACTCAGAAACCATGGCCATAGCATTAGTATTGCTAATTTTAGTGTCCATATCTAGACGACCACAGGAATTACCGACACAGGCTAAGCAACGAATACGACGATGCCACAGCCGGGCAACAAGACGATGAGCCTGAATTTTGTTGAGACGTTGGGAATTAGAGCCTTCTTCCATGCACCAAATGTTTGGATAATGACGCCAAACACGACCAGTTGAATCATACTTCGTGAGAAATAGAAGGAGGTCACACACCACTAGAAATATTCCATAAATGCAGGCAGCCCGTACAAAGACACAGGCCTGAAAATAAATAACAAATGGAATATCGCAATGAAAACATCAAATGAAAAAATGAAACAAACCTTAGAAAGGCAATTAGTGAGAAAAGTTTCAACGTATAGCAGAAAAGAGTACACAATTAGCTCGCAAATTTTGAAAATTAGATCAAAATAAAGAAGTAAAGGGACGTGTTTGCGTTTTTCAATTTCTGCTATTCCACCTTGAGAGCTCAAATAGGCTATGATACATCGTAGAAAGATTTGAATAGAATCAAGAATAACAGCACCATTTAAAACGGTCTAAATATGATACAATTAAAACTCAAACCAAGATACCAAAACTAAATCAGGAAGATATGGCTCGGATTTCCAATATAGGTATGTTGGTAAAATAGCAAGAATGAATCTAGAAAAATATTTTTTAATATGTATATAGTTACCCGATGATGCGAAGACTAATGACAAACAGTGACGATAAGACAAAATCATCACTGCCAAAGCGCCAACCGCGACGAAAAAGTATGATAGCAGGCATTCTTATAAGCAAATTGACAATAAAATATGCCTGTCAACCCATAGAAACTTCAACGAGTTTCTCAGTGTAAGCAAATTACGCGCATATCGTAAGTTGACCAATAATCTTATTCATGTTCACAACGTTAAACAACATTGCATTAATGTTTCACTGCTAATTGCATTATAAAATAATTGCCTTGCTATCAATATTTACTTTGCTTAATGTTTGAATTTAGTAAATCAGTTTAATATTTATGTTTTATTATTATTTCAAATGAACCCTTGGTATTCGACTGCCATGGGTTTGTTGTTATTCATATTTCGGTAAAACATACCAAATCTAAAATCCTTTTGTTTAACAAGCAGTTATATTTTGGTCTGGGTTTAATTGCCATTTTCTTTTTATGCAGTTTTTAATAGTGAACTAGTAAAGTTCACAATATAGGTAGCAATATATCAATCCGTCTAGTTAGCTGCAGTATATTTACTTATTAAGTTAGCAAGTTTAAGTTCAAATTAGAAATAACAGAAGGTATCACATGTTGGTTTTTAAAAATCCAGGTTTAGCTGTCGATATGCATATTTATATAAGATATGACCTTTGTCCATTTTCATTTTATTCTTAACTATTGACCTTTGTGTACCAAATATGAGTTATCATATACGACATTAATTAGTTTCAGTTATCGAAGTCAGCGCAAGGTATCTACCGGCTCCGTGAATTTAAAGAAGAGAGAATACAGTCGATTAAGTTAAATCGATATAATTAGACATGGAGCTTTTTGCAGACAGTGAATTTTCTTAAGTGATAACCCGGTAAAACAGAATTTCCAAAATTTAGAGTATAGCAGTTTGTTTGTATAAATGAATATTAGTGAGATTGAGCAACAAACAAAGGGAAATGAGTGGAGGGCGTTTAGCAAAGACAAATGGGCCGGTAGAAATCAAATAATGTAAAAAGACGAAGAAAATATGTGTTGTGGACCATTGATTGATGGCTAGACGAGTTAAGTCATAAAAAATTTGGTGTATGGAATATTTATTGCTGCGATCTTCGATATTTTGTCAAGAACGGAGGAATATAATAACCGTTTTTTAGGTAATTTGTAAAGTGAAACGACCGTTTTGTCCTATAATGGCAGGCAAAGTTTTACGAACTTTCAGTTTATTTTGCGGCTTCTGGTTCGTATTTTGAATGCAGTGACAGCAGACTAGTTAGTTAGCGCACACGTTCTGCCCAGGGGCTTGCTTAATTTCTGATCTCGGTCAAAATATCCTCCGAATGTTTCAACTGCTTTGAATTCAGATTGCGCGCAGATTGCACAGATACTATTGTGTCTTGTCGCATTTAAGCCAACTATTTCTACAATGATAAATTGCTCAGTTATTAGTGCCTTGTTGTTGAATTGGGTGCGGAGGAATAACAATTAATAGTTGGGGTCGACAACAACATAAGGCAGTTGCAAGAGCGGAACACAAGAGTTGTGCCTCCCGACTTTGATTGAATAAAGCATGGTGAAGATTGGAGAGAATAATGTGGAGATGAGAGGGAAATGTAAGATTCGGCAAAGCACGATTGTGTCAGTTTGTGTTTCTACAAGTGGTTTGATGGAGTGTCTTGAACAAGAAGTAGCGTAAACAAAGTGAACAGTTTCGGACATCAGTGTTGTGAAAAATGGACGCTGTGGCTTCTCTTGCCAAAGAGTTAAACTATTTGAGGTTGTCTACAGGTAACATTGGGTCAGTGCTGTGAGGTCTTGATAGTTAGGCTTCAGAGATTAGTGATTATCTTGGTAACTAATTTAATAATATAGACATTCTTCCTTCAAACGTTTGGGAACATGGAGGAGTAAATTCGGCTGTGTTTTTAGTGATTTGAACCCCAGATTTCACATTAGCGAAGAAATTCAAAGGTGTGAGTTTAATTATACTTGATATATGGTGGTATAATTTTTCGCTACACAACTGATTATTACAGATTGTTGATGACTTTATGAAGCCCTTGGTGATTTCAATGGTCGTTTTGAGAATTGAAGTTCCTTATGAATGGAATTCGAACTCTCTGGTAGTCATTGAGTTTTGCATGTGTGTCCGAGAATGTTCACTGGAAGTTGGCTAATGGGGTTAACATATTGCCAGATTAAGGGAATAACTGCCAAGATTGGTTTCTTGTGGAGGTATTTAAAGGGAACTGGCATTTTGCTTTTCACTCTCCCACTCTCTCTCTCTCTCTCACTCACCGGCATTCTGATGGCGATTTAACCCACAGTCTTGTTTTAGTAGCCATGAGAAATTAAGTTAAAAAATACTGGAGTCTCTTTTCTCTTAATTATTGCTCTCTCGTTAAAACATCAAGAATTCAAGAATTCTTTGAATGCTCTTTCATAGATTTAATTTGGAGTTCAAACATCATTGTCCAGTGATACTAAATTTAGGCTGAATAGCTTATAAATAGCTATTGATCACTCATAAATGTATCTTCTTTTCCAAATCCCATGTCACTGGAATGGGCTTGTTTTCGTCCGTATTCAACTCCAAAATATCGTTCTCGAATTGACTTTCTCATTTGTCATGTCCGTTTTAGTAACCTTAGAATGCCGAGACTCTGAGTAAATTTGTGGATTTTTTGGCCACATTTCTTGATGCTCCACGAAGTCGGTAATGATTATTCTCATTTGGTGTCATTCTCGTTGCTCTTTCCCAGTCTGATGCCGAAATGAAGAATTTCTTTTGTCTTTGAACATTATTTTCACTTATCCCCTTCCATATTTACAACTGATTACTTCCAGACACTCCAGAGACTGTTTCCATAATAATGAAGATGTAATTATTTTTTGATAAGTGTCATTTTCAAACATTTTCAACCTTTTAAAATCCTATCACGAAAGGTTACATTTTCATTACTTTGTAATGTGAACTATTGAACTTCTTTCTTAAGATAGGATATAGCGCCTTTTCAAGTTAGTATTTTACTACAAAATGACGAATTTTAGCCGTCATTTTCCATTCAATTTATTCTATTTCGTTTAGTTTTTTTTTAATTTTCCTGCATTTAATTTGTATTTACACCTGCTTATCGTATGCCTCTGCAGCAAGTTCTGATGATATTTAGATTTATTATACTCTATCCATGGTTTTTAACCTACTTTTACGCCTATTGGAAAGATTTCTTCCTTTTCTTCGTTCGTATTGTATTTGTGATATATCTTGGAAGTTCAATGCTGAAGTGATCTCTAACAGGTTTATTGAAAGTCTAGTCTGTTTGCTCTCATGATGAATATTTTTCAATGTCAGCGAGCCATTCTACAGGTGGATATGTGGTGGAGGAGTTATCACTCAATCTCGAGAACTCTTGAATTAAAATGATTTAGTGTGGATGACTAATTGCTCTGAGTAGTTCTGGTCAAATGGTATTTTTTGCATGAGGAAGAGGGCTTCTCATGAGACCTCAACGTTGCATCTTTTTCGCGAGTTTGGTCAGTTTTACAGGGGGGGGGGACATGTGCCTTTATCTCTTCCTACCAAACTGATTTGAGAAATATTCAATAGCAGTAATGATCCTCAGTGAAAAGTTGAAATCTGGGTGAGATTTAGCTCAGAATTTCTTTGTTATCCTAACGAAGGCGTTTGAGTGGAATTTTGTTAGGGGGGGGGGGGGTTGGGAACGGGGGTGGTAATTGTTTGGTTTTAAAGCCTAAATTTAATGCAAGCTTTTAACATGCCTACAATATTACTTAGTCTTAGACAGTAGTTGCATTTATCTTAAATTCAATAGCTGTAAGCGAGAAAAGCCAAAGTTGCTAGGTTGAAGAGGAAGTAGAGAAATGTGAATTTCTCTTAAGTTCTTATGAATCTCGATCTGTAATCAAATAATTGTATGTTCACAATGAATTCATTTCATTTCCCTTTCATAAATAGGTTTTGACTCAACACTATCGAGAACACATGATGTATGGAGCGAATAGCATTAATTGCAAGTTATTGTCGATCGCAAGCATGACTAATAAATGAAGTCCCTAATTTGGAGTATATTTTAAAGGTGGATTAGTAGACAAGGGCATTTCTTCGTGATCAATGGAGCAACCACACCTTCCAGGGCATTCGAGTGCGAAATGAATGTTGGTTGGGCTTGCTGTGGTTGTGCATTGCATAAGGTACTTCAAAATAAAACTATAATAATAATGTGTGAAACAGGTGATTAATGAAATACTGAGCTATAAAAAACATCGTATATGGGAAAAAATGCGTTATTTAATCTTTATAAAGTGATCATAAGAATTAAAAATAAATAACACATTTCTCACCAATTTGCATTACTTATTGTTTTTGAGAGCGCTACACTGTCATGGCTGAACAAAGAAATCTCATGCGCACCCAAACACAGACTGGTGGGTGCGGCCGTGCTACTTGTCGCGTAGGAAGCTTGTGAGACGACTCAGACAACCACCAATCAATGGTCCCTGCATAATTTAACAAATCCTTCAATGTATTTTGATGAGTAAGCTCCCTGCCAGTTAACCACATTCAAAATAAACCCATTCCAAATCATAAGCCTGCTTAATCTATGCCTTTGTGGTTGCTTAGCTTATCCTGGGAGCCATTACGATCTAGGAGATCTTGCCATAGAGATTACTGAGCAAAGGTCAAGGCTCATTAGTGTAGCATTCCGCTATGGCATATTG